GGGGGGGATTTCTTTGACTTTTCCGTTTTTTTCTTCGGACTTTTGAGTTTGTTGGTTGGGATGCGACAGCGGGCGATTGACCCAGCTCCTGCCTGGGTTGCAGCGAGAAACAAAGCCCGAAAAGCCGGAGAATGGGGAGAACCGGTAACAAAAGGGGAGCGAAAGGGGTGATTTGCAAGCAGGGGGAGTCTCTGATGGCTGGTTGGGGAGGCAAAGGTGCTCAGCAGTCCAGCTTTGCTGTCGGGGTCCGTGCTGGATGAGTTGGCTGTGACCTGTTGAGGGGAGAAACAGGAGCTGGGATGAGACGTGAGCGGTGGGTGGCTGGTGGGGTTGCTGGGGTGGCGGTGGGAGGGAAACGGCGGCCGAGCATTTGCAATGCTTGGGATAAAGGGCTGTTTCCATAGTAAAAGGGAGAAAGGAGCCTCTCTCTTTCTTCCCCTGAGCTCGCTGAGCGTGTGAACGGGGAGGTTGACTCGGGAACAAATAACCCGTGAAAGAGTAACATCTGGGAACAGCTGTAAATAATCAGGACCTGGTTGGAAGGGCTGGAAGCAACCCTCTGGTCCAACGTTTGCCCCGCCGCTGCACATCACCCTGGGAGTTTTGATGGGCAACTGTTTGGAGAGCAGCTCGGTTCGCAGCTGAAAGCAGGATTTGACCCTGGCTTTAGTCTGTTACTGATACTTCCACATTATTTGTAGGCATAACCATAATCAGCAGTGAAACAGGGGAATTTTCACTTCTAGAAAAGAGTGAATTTTAATTTAGGGTCGGGCACTCAGCTGATACGAACCTGGGGACCGGCACCTGACCAGCTTTGGGTTGGATAGTGCAAACTTTGATTAGCTGGAGGTCCAGCCCGTGGTGTACATCACCTCCTCTTCACTTCTGTGCTTCCTTTGGGAATCCTGACCTTACAATATAGCGTCTCTCAGGACTTATCCTCCGGCACGTGATACCAGGTGGAAGGGCAAGAGAGAATGGAAATAATTTCCTACAGCTGCTCAAAGCTTTTAAGCTGCATTTAACAACAACCAAAAAAGCATAACGTACCATGGGACCAGCTGGATTTTAATTAAAAAAATGTTCTGAATGTGAAGGGAGCCAAAGCTGTTTCTTCCTTTCCAACTTTGCTATTGAAATGTTTAAAAGGTGTGCAAGATTTCCAGGGCAATTTGAAAACTGCAGAGAAATACAAAGCTGGCTTTCATGACTGGTCCTGTGACTTTCTTATACCATGATGTTGGACCGAGAAGGTGACCGAATGGTGTCTTTTGAGTTTTATGCGTCATTTCTGGGGACGAAAATGCAGTTCTTTAAATGTGGTGGTGGTAGCTTGTTGTGAGACTACCTGCGGCTTACAAAGTGCCTCTGTGCAAGTTGTTACGGTACAGTCGTGCTTAGTGTGACAAAGTATCAGCCAAAATATAAGAGAAAGCTTTTTTTTTTAAGTTTGTGGTCCTTTGACAATGTGCTCTTCATTTCCTTGCTGTGTGAGAGCCCAGAATTTTAATTTGGGCAAACATTTCTCGTTGCGTGCAAATGGCTTCAGAAGTCATCACCCACCAGCTGAGACACGTGTGCTCCTGCCTCCTCGCAGCGTGGAGCAGGTCCTGCCCAGTGGCAAAGTCCCAGCTCGGTGGCTTTGCGTGGGGGACAGGCTGGAGGGAGCTCCGCGATGGTCGCTCCCTGCAGACTACGACGCTGGGCATGCGTGCAGCAAGAGCCTGGCTTCGGTCCAAACCTAACTCCACATCTTGGGATATTTTGAAGGAAGAGGTCTGTACCTCATCTTGGAGTGACCACCTATGGTTTGGCATGTAGGACTGCCCCAGAAACCTCTGTGGGGTGAGATAAATGAGGGTCTTGGGCTACTTTTTAGAAGAGTAGATAGGATAAGAAGTTGGGAAGATCCTTTGGGCTCCAGATCTTACTGGAAGGAAAGGGAGCCGGCGTGGGTAAAGCAGCTTGGAGACACGACCTGTGATGCACCCTGGACTGTGCCTTCATGGCAGGATGAGCCCTGAGGGCAGCACAGGCTTGGCTCCACGTTGCAACCTCTACTCCAGCTACGGACACCTTGTGCAAGAGAGCTGAGCAAGCTGCCTGCAGGTGCTTGTCTCTTCAGCATCTTGTCCTCATCCTGTTCTTCATGTGCTGGATACTGCTCTCCCAGCTGCATTCAAGGAGGAGCCACAGATGGCTGCTTTTTTTGGTGGCTGAGGGGCTGCCATTTCACAAGATCCCAGTAAAAGGAGGGTGGCCTTGGCTCATGTTCCCTGTGACTCCCCACCAGCAGGACATTGGCATCTGCTGCGTTTCTTGTCTGCTCCAGGAAAAAGGAGGGAAGAAGAAGGAGAGATACTTTAGAGGGTTGAATAGGCTGAACATGCCCATGTCCTGATGTCATATTGGTCCTATTCTCCTGGCATTGTTTGCTTTGCAAGTCTTTGTGGTGTCCCCAGGGAAGATGCTGTGTTAAGCATGATGAGGGTCAGGATGGACTCTCCATGCTCCTGGCCCCGGTCCTTTCTGGTGATTGGGCAGCTGTAGTCTATGTGAGCGCACACGATGCTGTAGCAAGAGAGAGATGAGGAACCCTGTCTTGGGACTCATCCTCTGCAGTTCTGGTGCCAAGGGAAGGCTCTTGGGGCCACCACAGTGTGCCAGCTCTTTTCTGTAGTCAGCGCTTGCATGGAAGGGTGAGAGGGGCAAGAAGTTAACTGCGGTGGTGGTGCACTATAGCAGCAGGCAGCACTGTAATAGCAGCAGACAGGGAGATAGGGCAGGGTTGGGTGGGGGGAATGTATACACGTGTGATGAGGTTGTGGCTGCTGCCCATGGGGGCGGTTTTGATGTCAACTCCACTGTTGGGTGCAAGAAGAAGGAAGAACGTATCTGCAAGCAGGGCACAGCACGGGAGCAGGTCGAAGCATCACCGTATGCCTGCACACTCAGGCTGGAGTCTCATTGCTTGTGTAGAGATGCTTTGAAGTCGGTCCCTTCCTTACTCTCCCGCTTCATTTCCTTTGTTCTCCAATGCAACTGTGAGCAATTCCTTGTTTCTCCAGCCGCCACCTGCTCTAGCTAGGCTGGAAGCCCCTGGAAGGTTCTCAATCCCCAAGACGTTTGTACAGCACCGAGCCTCTGTGACAATAATGGGCCCAGTCCTCTCCGCTCCCGTGGCCCCGGCTGCCACCACTGATTCAGTCCGGTCCTTTCGCCAGCTGCTCTTCTTAATCACTGAACTTATTTTGGAAGGTCTCCAGAGCTGGAGAAATAAAAGACATTTTAGAAAAGGGGGAGAGGGGGGAAATTGGCAAGAGCAATTGCTTTTTAGAAGACTACTTATGTCTTAAAATGTACTTGCTACTGATTAACCTTTGCTCTGTGATTGCTTTAATTGATTCATGCCTTAAAGCGGTCAGAAAGGTTCTGTGGGGTCATGGTGGCTCTCTCCTAAGTGCTCTCTTTCCCTGCAAAGCTTTTAAGAATTTTTGGTTGCACAAAACCCAATTCTTGCAAGAAATGCAGGTGTACGACACCAGCCTTTACCTTCTCCATCCCCCAGATTATCCAGCCGCCATCTTAGTGCTTTACCACTGCGACCTCTTCCTTCCCCCCCATCTTAGTGCTTTGCCACTGCGACCTATTCCTTCCCTGCCTGCTGCCAGTTGGCAACCTGCTACCAAGCTGAGCCTGTCCCATATTCCTCTGCAATTCATGGTGAATGCTGCTTTTGGGGATGATTTTTTGGCCCTTCTGTGAGAATGAGGCACTGTAGGGTTGGGAACTACTGCCCTCAATAAGCCTGCTGGTGTCTTCCATGTGGTCCTACCAATGGGACCATCTGCGGTCCCCATGAGTGCTTCATGTAACCCTGCATGGAGAATTTCTGTGGCTGCCCTTTGGATGGCAGCAGGGATAGACCCACAGCCAAGGGGGAGACAACCCACAGGCATTGGGGTGTCCTTGGGCTCTCCATGCTGCTGGTTGGGTGACAACAGGGGGCCCTGTGCACCTCTGTCCCTGAGGAGCTGGGGGTGAGATGCAAATGGCAGAAACTGCTCTTTGGAAAGGGGTGCTTGGGTGGGCTGGAAGGAAGTGAAACATGATTTACAGGTGAGAAGGGCTTTAGCAAAGATCCAGAAAATGTTGTCACCTGGAAGTGCCACCAGGGCCGGTGCCAGGAGAGCCTGTATGGGATGTCAGAGGCTTCCCTGCTGGCTCCTGGCAGGGAGCTGGTGCATGCTTGTCACTGCCAGCTGTAACCGCAGAGCCCTTGTGCCTTGACCCAGGCACAGACATCCAGGGCTGGCTCCCAGCACTGGAGGAACTAAACTGAGTACAGAAAAACTGAGCAGGGCAAGGTCCACCGTGTGCTTGGCGGTGCCTGGCTTTCCCAGATCCTGGCAAACACTTTCCTCATCCCAGTAGCTGATATCTGCCTGGTCTGAGCTTTTCTATAGGGGCGTCTTCCAGGAAGCTGTGGGCATTGGTGCTCATACCAAGGCAGCTTGGATGAGTTGAGTTGGATGAGTTGAGTTGTGCCCATTTCTTTTCACTGGCTATACCAGGAGCTCAGGGTGACTGCTCAAACACAGAGGAGATGAGTCCAGCCGCTCTTCGAGGAAGTCCAGGGGAGGAGTGAAAACACCCCCCCAAGCTCTGCAACCAAATAAATTGTTCCCTTCCTCCAGGCTGCTGGGATGTGAGTGCTGCTGGGCGCTGACCCGGCAGAGCTGACTGTGCTGGGTGTCCTGGGCCCTAAGGACGTCCATCAAGAGTCTGCCCACAGGTTGTCTGCATGGGATGATGTCCAGGCAATGAAGCCCACTGATCTTCCTGCCTTGCTAAGCATACTCCGTGGCTCAC